CCATCCCTGGAAGTGTCCAATGCCAGGTTGGATGGGGCTCTGAGTATCCTGACTAGTAAGTGGCATCTCTGCCCGTGGCAGGTATGTTGGACTAGATAATCTTTAAGGTCCCTTCCAACCCAAAGCATTCTGTGTTCAGGATCAGCCTGTTTCATGACTTCTTGCTTCTCTGTTCCCATCCCTAGAGTGCATTTACTTTTAGTGGAAAACTTTGTGGTCTTAATGACTCACAAATACTCTCCAGCCTGTCTGGCCCAGCTCCTTGGCTGCCCTGAGCACTCCCAAGGCTGCAGGGACTTCAGGAGACACATCCCACACCAGGGCAGCATTCCCACAGCACCTGCTGAGAGTCTCATTCTCTCCAGCTCAGTGTGAGAGTCTTTCAGGCCCCTTCAGCTGTAAAGGTTCCTCCAGCAAAGGGTTTCTTACCCAGTTTTCTCCTGTGGAGGTAGCACAGTGAGTGGTAAGCATAAGCCTTGATGGAAGAGGCTTGTGGAAGAGATCCAGATTGGCACTGGAAGTCCAAAGTTTAGTCTGAAGTCATTCTCGTTTGCTGTCAGCTTGTTTGTCTGTCTCATGCTCACAGCCCCATGTATTCAGCTCACAGTTGAGTCATTAATTCCTTTATCCATCGATGAAGCTGCTTGTGCGAGTTCCAGTTGCTCACAAAACCACGTATTTAATTCAGAATTCAGTTTGCACTTATTAATAACGGTTTGACATTCCCTGAACATCCTCTTCTCATCCTCATACACTGTCACAGATCTCTTGAGTGAATCTCCTGTAGTCCTTTGATGAATTGTTACTTTGCTCTCTCGTGGCATATGATTTTTAAAAGTACATGTTAGGTGATGCTTGAGGTGCAACCACATACATTTGTTGGTTGTTTCCATTTTGGCCTCAGTGGTGTCTGGGGCTGGCACTCCTTATTCTGCTTAAAAACCTTCTGGGTGAGCAGGCACAGGAGGAAGCTGGTGTTGTTTGAACTGTTTAACCTTCTAAAATCTGAGTGCAACTTATGTCAGACAGTTCCTCTTATTTGGAGATGGCAGAAAAATGTTGTATCCATAAGAGAGCCCGGGTCTCTAGTCAGAGCTGTGTTGCTAATGGGGACTCCTTAGGGATCATTGCCAGCTTGTTTTGATGTGTGTCAGCACATAAATAAAACAAACAGAACCCGAAGTAGGTATTCAGAGTGAAAACACCCGTTTGAGCTGACAGCAGCGGGACTGTGCCAGAGGGGTTTGGTGGGATCGCTGGGCCTTTCCTCCTTCACCCTCCTTCCCTTTCCCTCTCCTGGGCTGACTCTGTGCCTGGCAGCTCTAGTGGTGCTGGACACCCTGGGCATCTGCAGTTCCTGCTGAGGCAGAGCAGACGGTGCAGTGGGGAGAGGAAAGTGTTGTGGGGAAGCAGAGCCAGCCGTGTGTCCCCAGCCCCGGCCCTGAGCTCCGTGTCCTGCGGGTCAGAGAGGGGCAACTGTGCAGTGTGCTGGGGGGCTGTGCAGCCTGCTTTGCTTAGCTCTTATTTATATGCTTACACTCTTTTTTTTCTTTTTTTTTAATCTTTTTTTTTCCTCTTTTTTTTCTTTTTTTTTAATCTTTTTTTCTCTTTTTTCTTTTTTTTTAATCTTTTTTTCCTCTTTTTCCTCTTCTTGCTCCCTTTTTTACCCTTTCCCCCCTTTCCCCCCTTTTTCTCTTTCTTCTCTTTCTTCTCTTTCTTCTCTTTCTTCTCTTTCTTCT